GGTGAAGCTGCTTACATATTAGGCATAAAGATCTATAGAGATAGATCAAGACGCTTGATTGGACTTTCACAAAGCACATACCTTGACAAGATTTTGAAAAAGTTCAAAATGGATCAAGCAAAGAAAGGGTTCTTGCCTGTGTTACAAGGTGTGAAGTTGAGTCAGACTCAATGCCCGACCACTGTAGAAGATAGAGAGAAAATGAAAGATGTTCCCTATGCTTCAGCCATAGGCTCTATCATGAATGCAATGCTGTGTACCAGACCTGATGTGTGCCTTGCTATAAGTTTAGCAGGGAGGTACCAAAGTAATCCAGGAGTGGATCACTGGACAACGGTCAAGAACATCCTGAAATACCTGAAAAGGACTAAGGATATGTTTCTCGTATATGGAGGTGACAAAGAGCTCATCGTAAAAGGTTACGTTGATGCAAGCTTTGACACTGATCCGGACGATTCTAAATCGCAAACCGGATACGTGTTTACATTAAACGGTGGAGCTGTCAGTTGGTGCAGTTCTAAACAAAGCGTCGTAGCGGGATCTACATGTGAAGCGGAGTACATAGCTGCTTCGGAAGCAGCAAACGAAGGAGTCTGGATGAAGGAGTTCATATCCGATCTAGGTGTCATACCTAGTGCATCGGGTCCAATCAAAATCTTTTGTGACAATACTGGTGCAATTGCCTTGGCAAAGGAATCCAGATTTCACAAGAGAACCAAGCACATCAAGAGATGCTTCAATTCCATCTGGGATCTATTCCAGGTGGGAGACATAGAGATTTGCAAGATACATACGGATCTGAATGTTGCAGACCCGTTGACTAAGCCTCTTCCACGAGCAAAACATGACCAGCACTAAGGCTCCATGGGTGTTAGAATCATTACTGTGTAATATAGATTATTGACTCTAGTGCAAGTGGGAGACTGAAGGAAATATGCCCTAGAGGCAATAATAAAGTTATTATTTATTTCCTTATATCATGATAAATGTTTATTATTCATGCTAGAATTGTATTAACCGGAAACATAATACATGTGTGAATACATAGACAAACAGAGTGTCACTAGTATGCCTCTACTTGACTAGCTCGTTAATCAAAGATGGTTATGTTTCCTAACCATGAACAAAGAGTTGTTATTTGATTAACGAGGTCACATCATTAGTTGAATGATCTGATTGACATGACCCATTCCATTAGCTTAGCACCCGATCGTTTAGTATGTTGCTATTGCTTTCTTCATGACTTATACATGTTCCTATGACTATGAGATTATGCAACTCCCGTTTGCCGGAGGAACACTTTGTGTGCTACCAAACGTCACAACATAAATGGGTGATTATAAAGGAGCTCTACAGGTGTCTCCAAAGGTAGATGTTGGGTTGGCGTATTTCGAGATTAGGATTTGTCACTCCGATTGTCGGAGAGGTATCTCTGGGCCCTCTCGGTAATGCACATCACATAAGCCTTGGAAGCATTACAACTAATAAGTTAGTTGTGAGATGATGTATTACGGAACGAGTAAAGAGACTTGCCGGTAACGAGATTGAACTAGGTATTGGATACCCACGATCGAATCTCGGGCAAGTAACATACCGATGACAAAGGGAACAACGTATGTTGTTATGCGGTCTGACCGATAAAGATCTTCGTAGAATATGTAGGAGCCAATATGGGCATCCAGGTCCCGCTATTGGTTATTGACCGGAGATCTGTCTCAGTCATGTCTACATTGTTCTCGAACCGTAGGGTCCGCACGCTTAACGTTACGATGACAGTTATTATGAGTTTATGCATTTTGATGTACCGAAGTTAGTTCGGAGTCCCGGATATGATCACGGACATGACGAGGAGTCTCGAAATGGTCGAGACATAAAGATTGATATATTGGAAGCCTATATTTGGACATCGGAATTGTTTCGGGTGAAAATCGGCATTTTACCAGAGTACCGGGGGGTTACCGGAACCCCCCCGGGGGTTTATGGGCTTACATGGGCCATAAGGGAGAAGAGAGGGGCCGGCCAGGGCAGGCCGCGCGCCCCCTCCCCCTAGTCCGAATAGGACAAGGAGGGGGGGGGGGGCGCCCCCCTTTCCTCTTCTCCCTCCCTCTTTTCCTTATCCAACAAGGCAAGTGGAGGGGAGTCCTACTCCCGGTGGGAGTAGGACTCCTCCTGGCGCACCCCTTGGGGGCCGGCCGCACCTCCCCCTCCCTCCTTTATATACAGGGGCAGGGGGGCACCCTAGAACACACAAGTTGATCCTTGAGATCGTTCCTTAGCCGTGTGCGGTGCCCCCCTCCACCATATTCCACCTCGGTCATACCGTTGTAGTGCTTAGGCGAAGCCCTGTGTCGGTAGAACATCATCATCGTCATCACGCCGTCGTGCTGACGAAACTCTTCCCCGACGCTTTGCTGGATCGGAGCCCGGGGAGCGTCATCGAGCTGTACGTGTGCTAAGAACTCGGAGGTGCCGGAGTAACGGTGCTTGGATCGGTCGGATCGGGAAGACGTACGACTACTTCCTCTACATTGCGTCACCACTTCCGTTGCGGTCTACGAGGGTACATAGACAACACTCTCCCCTCTCGTTGCTATGCATCACCATGATCTTGCGTGAGCGTAGGAATTTTTTTGAAATTACTACGAAACCCAACAGATAGATAGATAGATAGATAGATAGATAGAGAGAGAAAGAGAGAGTGAGAGATAGATAGATAGATAGAGAGAGAGAGAAATATAGAGAGAGATACATAGATAGAAATAGATAGATAGATAGATACAGGGAGAGAGATAGAGAGAGATAGATAGATAAACCGATAGAGAGAGAGACATAGATAGATAGATAGACAGACAGAGAGAGAGACGGAGAGATAGATAGATGATAGATAGAGAGATAGATAGAGAGGTAGAGAGAGAGAGACATAGATAGATAGATACAGAGAGAGAGCGAGAGATAGATAGATAGAGATAGAGACATAGATAGATAAACAGATAGGTAGATAGATAGATAGATAGTTAGATAGAGAGAGAGATAGAGAGATAGAGAGACATAGATAGATAGACAGATAAACAGATAGATAGAGAGAGATAGATAGATAGATGATAGATAGAGAGATATAGAGAGAGAGACATAGATAGATAGATATAGATAGATAGAGAGAGAGAGAGAGAGGGAGATAGATAGATAGATAAAGAGAGAGAGATATAGAGAGGGAGATAGATAGATAGATAGAGATAGAGAGAGACATAGATTGATAGAGGTAGAGATAGATAGATAGAGATAGATAGATACATAGGTAGATAGAGAGAGATAAATAGATAGATAGAGACATAGATAATTTGCCACCCCTTACCTCCCCCTTTCATAATTTGCCCCCCCCCCCTGAGAATGACAGGTGGGGCCCGGGCCCGCCCGTCATTGAGACAATGGGTGGCAAATTGTGGAAGGGGGAAGTAAGGGGTGGCAAATTATCAAATCGCCCTAGTTTTATATGAAAGTGCCACTCATTAGGATCATGGTCTCAGTAACTTTAGTTGTGTTCCATTTTATATATAAGTGTCACTCATTAGGGTCATGATCTCAATAACTTTTGTTGCGTTGGTTCCGTTTTATATACAAGTGCCACTGATTAGGATCTTGATCTTACTAACTCCATCCATTCATTATGTGCCATTTTGGATATCGAATGCAGATCTTGTCCATTGCTTTTATAACTACATGTATCTAAATTGTTAAAAGCCAAATACTCTGCGATAAGCATATATATGAAGATAAACCTCAAGTCAAAAGGAAAAAAAAATCAAAGTATGTCCATCTATCACTCTTCTTTTCTAAATTTTTGTCCAAGTTGTAAACCTTCCCTTAGAGACCTGGTCTATAATTCTTCCATGTTACGCCGCGTATAATATGTGGCAAAAAAATTCCTCGACTCAACCCGACCTGCCATCACCTCTCTACCAATCATTTTCTCCACCAACTCTGGCTACAACTGGAATACGGATCCCTTCCAATTTTCATACACTGGATTACCTTGTATTTACTCACACTGTTTTGATGCTCAGTAAACACTATGCACAAATATAGCTTGAATAATTAGCAATCCTATAAATGGCTAATGATGTTGTTTTTATTACAAACCTTGCCTGATACACGACTCAAAAGTTGTAGCAGAACATAAGGAAATATTCAAGCTTAGAGATATCTCAAGCACACAAGCAATTAGTTGAGGTGCCTACTCCTCGAAATCAACAGTTGGCAGTTCTAGAAGCCAGTAAACCTTGATTTCTTTTGACAGATGAGGGACAAATGAAAAAAAAAAACTACTCAATACTTGCCAAATTATAGTGCATACAAAATTTTATTGGTCAAAAGTCAAACTTTGTAAATTTTTACTATGTTTATAGAAAAAAAATATGAGAATTCAAAATACCAAATATATAACGTACAAAAATATATTTCTTCATGAGTCCAATTGCATGTTATTCTAGATGTTGATAAATTTTTATATAAATTTGATCAAACTTTACAAAGTTTAATTTTGACCAACATTTATATGCATTATAATTTAGCAATTAATTAGGGAGTAGGAGTATATTGAAAACCCTCCATCCTATTTGGCTGACTGTGCCGTATGCAAAGCGTTGCTAACCGAATAATGCATATCTGCTTCACACTTTGGTTGCATTTTTTAGTTTCAAGTCTTAGCCGGCTAATATTATTCCGTCAGTGATGCTCTGAGGTCGCGCGCATCGCCGTGCTCGTCCCCGGCAAACTCCGCTGCAGATCCATCGTCTCTGATCTACAGTACTACCTGGCTATCTTCGGGTGCATGGCTCCGTCCGCTCAAGCACGGCTCCTGGCTCCTTGGTTCTGATCTTGAGAGGGTGGTCAAGCCCAACGTTGCGTTCCTCCGGGAGTGCGGGCTACATGATTGCCACATTGCCAAGCTGTGCATCGGTCATCCAAGGATCCTCAGAATCAACCAGCAGCGCCTCCAGGCGATGGTGGCATGCGCCAAAGCTCTCTGTGTGCCACATGGCTCTGGGATGTTAGGAAAAGCGTTGGAGGCTGTCGCATTCTATGACGAGGAGAAGATCGCCACCAAAGTGGACTACTTGAAGAAGACGTTAAGGTGGTCGGATACTGAGGTGGGCATTGCTTTGCCCAAGGCTCCAATGGTGCTGAAGTCTTCCAAGGACAGGCTGCAACGCGTCTCAGAGTTCCTCATCTCCGAGGTGGGGTTGGAACCATGGTACATCGCACATCGGCCGGCGGTTCTCAGTTACAGCCTGGATGGTCGGCTCAGGCCCCGGTACTATGTTGTAAAGTTTCTCAAGGAAAACGGATTGCTACATCGAGACCGGGACTACTATTCTGCAGTCGCGATGACTCCGAAGGTATTCATGGAGAAGTTCATATGCCCACACAAGGAAGCTGCACCACACCTTGCTGAAGACTATGCGGCAGCTTGCAGAGGGGAAGTGCCAGCTAGATTCAGATTTACATGAACCATGACCGGCATGAAAATTGGTATGTTCATTTTGTCATTCATTAGAGAAGGAAGCATAGCACTGCTATGAACTTGTCCTTCATCATGTCATATTGTAACCAAGGAGTGAGAGATCAGGGCATCCTGCAAGCGCTTTGAAGTATCAATTAGTACTATTTCTGCACACTGTATCGTTATGTTCTGAAATGGCCATTGCAATTTTCAGTGCAATCTTCAACCTATCTTTCCGTGAAAGAATGCTCCCATTTTGGCCATGAAGATGATTTGAAGCCTCAAAACTTCTCTTTAGATGAAAATCGTGGACTTCTTTTTCCCTAGGAAACAGTTTTGGTTTGTTGTTGGCCAGTTGGCCACACCGTGTTAAACATGTATACCAGTGCGTAGATATTTTAGGTGCCCTGGTATTTGTACGGGAGAAGCAAATCGATGCTTGTATGGTATGATGATGAAAAGCAGAGTGCATTTCATACAATAGGGGAACATATGTTATGGTAACCTGAAAAGGTTATGACATTAACAAAATTTAACAAAATTTGATAAGCATTTAACAAAATTCAGCATGATGTGGTGCTGCAGCAAACTCATCAAGAAATTTCCTAATTAATAAAGAAACAGAGATTTCATGAACACACTGCCAACCAAGGATGAACCAATGAGCAAGCTAACAAATTGCAGACTTTGTTCCACAGAGAAGAGCAGGTGCGTAAGAATACATAAATCTGAACTTCATACCAATTGTAAAATTCATATATATTGTAATAAAAACACAAATAACATTAAATATGAGCTGTAAGTGAGAGTTGCATCAAAGTCAGGTCACTCGCAAAAAAAAAAGAGAACGTGGCAGGTATATTATTACAGGAAATTGACTAGATAGTTTAGAGACATGTGCAAACTATGGCCATACCAAACACTCCCTCCATCCCATAATGTAAGACGTTTACGCAAGCTAACATATCTTGCAAAAACGTCTTACATTATGAGAGGAGGGGGTACCTAGCAACAATGTGACTACATAAAATTGATGTCATTAGTTTTGTACTAAAATAACACCTAGTCATGCTTGTGACTTAGTATCACCGTAACCGGTGGACTCAAGGCTTTCCTCATATGGTGCCACAACTCTTTGGGCCATGGTGTGGTGAGTAAGTATGCCGCCGCCGGCGAGGAGGTCCTCAACATCTCCGGTCACAGGTCTGTACATGAAAAGCTTGTGAGATTCCAAACTTTCCCTTTCGATCAAATCAGGATCCGGTCTGAGCAGCAGGCATCTACCATCATGAACAGTACCAAGCGGGATGACCGAACGGGAGCGCATCAACTGAGTGTCTGCCAGCGGTGGCGTGTCCAGGTCAATGCGGCAATGGAGATCCCAAGCGCCCGCCTGGTGGTCACACAGCACCCAGATATCATACGAGCGCTTGAACTCATCGGAATTGTTGAAGACACAAAGACGCCCGTCGAGCTCCCTTATCACGCAGGGGTAAATTTTGACGGGTGGTGGCGGCAAGATCCCGAACTCCTAGTTACTGATCGAGAAGGAAATGATGATTCTCTCGAGGTTGAACTTCCTATCGGGCTGGGTGACCCATTGCCACCTGGCCGACCCAAACGGATGAAAAGCGGACGCGCACTTTCACCTGGCCAACCCAAACGGATGAAAAGCAGACAAAACGCGCGTCCGTTTGGGTCGGCGCGTTGGAGTTGCTCTTATGTCTTACCCTAGCCATAAAACTTGCAGTAAATCTTTGTCGTTCCAAACTGAAAGTACAGTTCTGTATGTGTACTGAAATCTGTGCTTGATCTTTTTATTCCTACTAGTATATAGCCTCTTTCTTGAGTTAGGTTGCTCATGTTCTTCAGTTTGCTAATAGATAGCCAGTCTCCCTTTTTCAAGCCTGGATGCCCATGTGTTTCTGTTTTGCTGAATGTGCAACTAAGAACCCTAGCAACCCAGCAACCCATGTGAGCTAGTAAATTCAGTTGTCGGTTTTCAGTGTAATCTGTACTGAAATCTGCATGATCATGAGCAGCAACCATATCACGAACACCTAGGCCTCCCTTCTTCTCTGTGCAAATTGATTTGTTCCCAATCAACAAGACAGCCATCCTTCCGTTGATATCCCTTCTCATTTGCCAAAGGAAACTGTTAGGTAGTTGCCGAGTCATTTGGATCATGGGGATAGATTAGTTAGTTAGCTGGTGCATCTAGTTGGGGTAATGGGTCAAGAAGTGGCGTGAGTTTTGCATGGTACGAGTGCCAACCTCCATGTATATATAGGTTTCTTTGAGCAAAGAGAAGGGAAGAGGCCGTGAGGGCAGGAGATGAAAACATGTAGCCACCGTGTGCTCACCAAGGAAGTTCTTGAGAGAAGATAAAATTTCTTAAGAGGCAGCGCCAACAGAAACCAATCATAATCAACCAATCTCTCAAGGTTACCGTTAGACCACTTAATGCAGGCCAAAAATGGTGATAAGGGGGTCAACAATCATAGTCAGCCAACCTCTCCAGCAAAGATGCGTAGCCATCCAACCAGCTAATCGCCTAATCAGAGATCAATCTGATGAATCATTGGCATTACAGTATTTGTCAGTATTCTTACGTTACACCCCAAAACTTTGGCAGCTTCCGTGGGAGCAGCGGCTGGATCCTATATGAACATGAAAAAAAGTATTCTTATGGTGATTAATCTTGAGGACAAAAAAATAATCTGAGAGGCCCTGCAAAATCCTCCCACTCTCAGTAGCATGAGCACTATCACCCTTGAGCAAAATTAAAGCGTCGTCTGCATATTGCAGCACCAGAAAGAAGCCTGGGGTTATCAAGGTAACCTTGATTAGATTCAATGATGCACATCCTTTTGAGAATACTAGCAACAAGAATGAAAAATATAAGGTTGTAATGGATCCCCTTGCGAAACTCCACATTCAAAAGGAATCGATCCTCCAAAGCAACCATTAAGAAGAACCTCAGCTGGCCAATTTGCTGGATAGCTTCATTCCCTTGGACCCATTTGGCACGAAAGCCCCATTGTTGTAGCCAAACCCGGCCATATGGACGACATGGTCTAGCCCCATTGTTGTTCTGTGGAGGGTTGAAGGTCGGCTGAGCCTTTTTTTCGCGTGTCATGCCGGGTAAAAGATCCATGCCTGCGGTCGGCCTTAAAAGCACGACCCATGTGGCCAGATTTGGTTTTAGCCAGTAATTCACCGTCAAAAGCGTTCTATAAGTCCAATTTTAGTACCATCAATCAAGCATCATTGGTAGCCACCGCTTTTGTGCACACTGTTGAAGCTCCGAGGGCAAGACGAAGTTCTCGCAATAGCCCTCCCTCTAATGAAGCCTAACTGGATAGCAAGAAACATAACAAGACTATCCAGGTCCTCTCGCCTCCCTCCCCCCATCTCTGGCGCCTCATCTCTGCCGCGGCGCCCGCCATCTCCGGGAGCCCTAGCTTCAGGAGTATCTCGTCGAGACGTGCGGCCTCACCCGAGCCCAGGCCCTCAAGGCCTCGGCGAAGCTCTCGCACCTCAAGTCCCCCTCCAAGCCTGACGCCGTCCTCGCCTTCCTCGCCGGCCTCGGCCTCTCCAGCGCCGATGTCGCCTCCGTCGTCGCCAAGGACCCGCGGTTCCTCTGCACCGGCGTGGACAGAACTCTGGTCCCCGTCGTCTCCGCGCTCACCAATCTGGGCCTGCCGCGTCCCAAGATCGCGCGTCTCGTCCCGCTCGTCGGCAGATTCTTCCGCAATAAATCCGTCGTCCCCAAGCTGGAGTATTTACCTGCAGCTCTTCGGCTCCTTCGACAACCTCCTCCGGGCGCTCAGGCGCAGCTCCTACTTTCTCGGTTACGACCACGAGAGGATGATCAAGCCCATTGTCTTGTTACTGCAGGAGTGCGGGCTAGATGATTGCGACATTGCCAAGCTGTGCATCGCTAAACCGAGGTTGCTGACTACCAACCATGAGCGTATCCGAGAGATGGTGGCATCTGCCGATGGTCTCGGTGTGCCCCGTGGATCTGGGATGTTCAGGCATGCGCTGCAGGCTGTTGCATCTATCCGTGAGGAGAATATTGCTGCCAAAGTGGACTGCTTGAAGAACACATTCAAGTGGTCGGATGCTGAGTTGGCCATTGCTGTTTCTAAAGCTCCACAGGTGCTGCCGAGGTCCAAGGAATCGCTTCAGTGCAGGTCTGAGTTCCTGATCTCTGAGCTGGGGTTGGAACCGGCATACCTGGCTCATTGCCCGGCGTTGCTCAGTTATAGAGTGGAGGGCCGGATGAGACCTCGGTACCACGTTGTAAAGTTTCTCAAGGAAAATGGGCTGCTCAAGCGCAACCCAGGCTACTATATTGTTTTCAAGATTACCGACAAGATTTTCATGGAGAGGTTCATATGCCCTCACACGGAAGCTGCACCGTACCTTGCTGAAGACTATGCCGCCGCTTGCAGAGAGGAAATGCCCGCTAGATTCATATTTACATGAATGAAGAACAAGCATTGAAAATTGGTTACTTGCGTACGGCACAACAAAATTTTCAGTTAGTTTAGTAAGCTGGTAGTTCTCGTTTCGGCGTTCTTTTCCTAACTGGATGTTTGTTGTCTGCTATTGATTCCTGAACCCCGCTGAGTTCATGTCAGATTTGGTAGAGAACAAAGCATTGCCGGCAATCTCTGAAGATGAGGAGTCCAGGAATATATTTGTGTTTCCAACTTGTGCTTGCTTAAGATCATGGAAACTGGGTGTGTGGTTGGACTAATTTTCTGTTGAAACAAGGACCCAGAGAATCAGAGAGAAAAAAAAGAACTACCCTGTATTTTTTTTCTATTAAAAATATTAGTATGATCTGCTTTCATGTCAGATTTTACCTAGCATGCATGTTCTATTTCATTTCATCGTCTTTTGTGTTCCATTATATGTCAGTACTAAACTTGCAGTTTGATGTTTTAATATTTAGATTATGCTTAGAAAATATATCTTTCTTTTGATTTCTTTTCCTGTATTTTTAAAGATTGATTTGTTTGTTCCTAAATCCTGTAGTTGACCTTATTTTCGCTGGGAAACTCATGTATATTTTGACAGAAAATGCATTGGAAGCATCACTGGGTAGTATATCTGGACACTTGATATCTCTGTATTCTCAAATGGTCTTTGCTGTTTTCCGTGCAGTCCTCTGGTCTATCTTACCATGAAAGAAGGTTCTCTGTTTTGCCATGGATTAGATATGAGAGAGTTTCATTAGAAAAGAACTCATAAAAGTTCCCTTTGAATGGCAGTTATGGATCATCATCTCATTTGGGGACGAAGGCCACAATATGTTGATCACTGTCCGGATGCGGTTTTGACTTAGCTTGTTGGTTGCTTGGTCTAGTTGTTGTAAGCTGGAAAATTTTGTTTCTTTTTGGAACATCTTTGCTTAACGTTATGATTAACTGTTCTGAAAACAACTGACCCAAATTGAATAATGCTGTAGTACCATATCTGTAGCTGTAGTGATGTACTAACAAGCTTTTCTAGGTTGGCCTCAATCAAGTGTTTACACATGTTCTTTTTTTTACTTGACTCTCCTCTTTGGTCCTCTCTACCCTGCATAGGAAGCCGGTCTCACTCTGAAGTCTGAAGGTGCCGCTACTTTTTTGGTTTGCTCAGAAACCTTGGTGAAAGGATCGATATGGTTGACTAGAGGGGGGGGGGGTGAATAGGCAACTAACAATTTTTAGCTTTTCTTTAGCAATTTAAACTTTGCATCAAAATAGGTTGTCTAGATATGCAACTAGATGAGCAACCTATATGCTGCAACACGAATAGGAACACAAGCAAGCAAGATATATGAAACAAAAAACTACACAAGTAAAAGGCACGAGATAACCAAGAGTGGAGACGGTGGCGACGAGAATGTGTTGCCGAAGTTCCTTCCCTTTGAGAGGAAGTACGTCTCCGTTGGAGCGGTGTGGAGGCACAATGCTCCTCAAGAAGCCACTAGGGCCACCGTAATCTCCTCACGCCCTCACACAATGCGAGATGCCGTGATTCCACTATTGGTGCTCTTGGAGGCGGCGACCGAACCTTTACAAACGAGGTTGGGGCAATCTCCACAACTCAATTGGAGGCTCCCAACGACACCACGAAGCTTCACCACAATGGACTATGGCTTCGCGGTGACCTCAACCGTCTAGGATGCTCAAACACCCAAGAGTAACAAGATCCGCAAGGGAATAGTAGGGGGAATCAAATATCTCTTGGTGGAAGTGTAGATCGGGGCCTTCTCAACCACTCCCGAGCAAATCAACAAGTTTGGTTGGCTAGGGAGTGAGATCGGGCGAAAATGGAGCTTGGAGCAATAATTGAGATTTAATGGTGGAAGAGGTAAGTCAACGGGGAAGAAGGAGACCCTTTATATAGTGTGTGGAAAAGATCCAACCGTTACCCACCAACCAGCCCGCGGCCAGCGGTACTACCGCGCCTGGCCAGCGGTACTACCGCAAGGCCGCGCGGTAGTACTGCTTGCAACCAAGCGGTACTACCGCACGGCAGTGCGGTACTACCGTACCACCCCACGGTATTGCCGCGACCCCAGCCAGGGAAACCGACGCAAACTGGGGCGGTACTTCCGCACGCGCGGTACTACCGCGCCCCCAGTGCGGTACTACCGTGAGGTAAAAAGTCCCGACAGGGGGAAGGGGAACTTCCATGCATACTTCCGCAAAAGAACGGAAGTAGCAAAAACTCGACACAGTAGTACTGCCGAGGGGCGGCACTACTGCCTGACCGCCTAGCGCGGTACTACCGCACGGCGAAAGCGGTACTACCGCGGCAGGTGCGGATGTAAAAAATTACATCCGCTCCTACTACCGCAAACGGGCGGCACTAGCCTGGTGGGCAGCGGTAGTACGGCTCCAGGGGAGCGGTACTACCGTGAGCACCAGCGGTACTACCGCGCCACTGCGCGGTACTACCGTGGATGCCCACGGTACTACCGTTGATCCAGGAGCAGTACTACCGCAACCACAACAGCAGCCAATCAACTGAGGCAGGAAAAACGGAGGAAGCTCCAAGGAAGAAGGAGGGGATAAAAGGAGACGTGTACGTGATGATTCCACCCAAACCTTTCCAACGCGGACCCCTCTTAATAGTACGGCTTTCCTACGACTCAAATCCACCAAAAAGAAACGTAGAAAAGACGCCGTCTTCGTCAGTCTTTGAGGGGCACCCAATCGTCTTGTGCCTTAGCAGAGAAGAGTCTGAAAAGCTCAGGGCACACGATTAGTCCGCAAATGCATTGTCATCAATCACCAAAACACTTAGGGATAAATATGACCTTACAATCTCCCCCTTTTTGGTGGATTGATGACAAAACGGGATTTGCACAAGGAAAAATACTATTGAGTAAAAGCAAACCCCTCCTCTCTATAATATAGACGGGCTCCCTCTAAATGTGTGCCACCTAGATGAGCACGAATGCTAGGAACCGAGCACCCCCTATATTATAGAGACAAGGCAAATTTATCACTAGACAAGATAGTACAAACATAAGATAACTAGGATAGATAGAGTGCTTAACTAAGATAGATAGAGTGCATATGTCTTACACCATATGGAGGAAAGGTCTCGGAAGCACAAACCGAACTAAAGCAAACGAGGTCCAAACGACACAGCAAACGAGGTCCAAACGACAAAGCAAACAAACACACCAAACACAACGCAAATCCCTACACTCTCTCCCCCTTTGGCATCGAGACGCCAAAAAGGTAGAGAGGACACCTGCACACACGGGGTGGCTCAGGCAGAGAAGTTGTCCCACTGCTCCTCGTGCTCCTCGTCAGACTCAGCGGCGGGGATAGTCTCCTCCATGTCATCCTCTGAACTAGTCCACTTGTAGCCCTGCTTAGACATCCAGTCAGCCTCAGGTGTGATGACGTCCTCAGACCCGCCAGACACATCCTCTCCAAAGAGCCTCATCACCTTCTTGTCACGGCGGCGACTCTCCTTGTCAGCCACGTGAGCCCTGTACTGTCCCTTCGCCTGCATGCAGAAGAGAGTCTTCATCTTGTCCTTCAACTTCTTGGCCCATGATGGCTCAGAGGAAGAAGTGGTGGACCTAGTAGCACGGTCCTCAGCAGTAGTCTCAGCAGCAGCAGCCTCCCCCTCACCAGCAGCCCTCCTAGCAGAAGATGCCTCAGCACGAGTAGTGGTGTTGGCCCAGTTGGGCTTGACGCGGAGGCTGATGGACTCATGGCGAATCCAGTCTGGAGCAAGGAACTCATCACCTGGATACGTCTTCTCCCAAGTGGTGGAGAGCAGCAGAAACAGATACGGTCCATAGATAGGAACCTTGCGAGTGAACACCGCAAACCGAAGCTCACACCACATGATGTGAGAGACATCAAGTGGCTGTCTGAGAAGTACGTGCCTCTGCACACAATAGCAACATGTCCACTAGATATGCATGAACCTTGTCCTTGTCGCCAATGCGTGGGAATAGAGTGTTGCGGAAGATGCGATGCATGATATCCAGAAAAGAGTTCAACACCCAAGAAGACTTCCCATTTGGGAGTACCTTCTCAACAAGGAAGGGCTGAAGCTGGTTCTTGTTTGCTGACTCAGCGTTGGCACGGGGGCGGACGCCAACGGGGGTGTGAAGCCCATCATCAGGAATGTGCAGCAGATCCATGAACTCCTTCCATGTAGCAGACAGCTGACGACCATTGGTCATCCAAGTCATCCTCCGCTCCTCCTCGGGATGAAAGTACACTGAGGAAAAGAACTAATAGATAAGCTCAGGGTCATAGTCAAGGTGAAAGGAGATCACCGGCTCAATAGCAAACTACTCCACCAAGTCCAGAGCCTCTCCAAAATAGTCACGAAACTTGTCTTTCCGCAGGTGATGCATATCTATCCACTTGACATCCACGTAGGTGTTATGCTTGTTCTTGATCACATCCAGATAGATAAGAACCTGTTGCTTGGTCCAGAACAACTCGGTGCCTCTGAGGTTAGCCCGAGGATTCACATAGGGATTGATCTTCCGGCGCTCGACATACTCAGTGGTTGAAATCTCGTCCATCCCCTTAGCCGGTTCCTTTTGCTTGCTGGCAGTGGACTTGACATTGCGCTTGGGGGCATTGGAGCCCTCTGGGGCTTCATCTTGGGGGTTGCGCAGACGCTTGGAGCCAGTGTCACGACTGGGATTGGAACGGCGAGAGCCACCACCTGAGACACAGAACGCAAAAACACCCACAACAGCCAAGAGAGATTAATGCAAAGACCACAACAAAACAAGTGAAACAAGTAGAAAGCACACATGATACATGCCTAGAGAGAGATTTGATCCCTACGGTAGTACTGCCAAGAGCTGCGGAGCTAAGAGAGTAGTACGGCTCTTAGACGCGGTAGTACCGTGCAAGATCACGGTAGTACCGGGTGTAGGAGCGGTAGTACGACCTTAGCACCGCGGCCGGCGTGGTAGTACCGCGTCCGCGGAGCGG